GCTGTAAAATTAAAATAGAGTTGGAAAACGCCGAAAAATGTAGACCAAGTAAAGTCGAACTTCGACAGTCAGGTAATGTTGAGGAACTAAAAAAAAATGATATGATCATAATTCATAAGTATAAGTTCTGGGCAGAAATAGCATTAAGAGGGTTGTTTTCATGTTCAATGCAGTGGTGTCTGGTCTATACTGTACTCGCAGTATTATCCTCAAATCCCACAATCTCTGATTTAAAACCCTCTAACATATTTTATAAATTATATATTCAATAATAATAGGTGCTACATTTTTCTATCTTTAAAATACATTATGCAATATACAATCACACTTATTATATATATGTATAATGTATATAATTGTAAATATCAATTAGAACTTTTTATTTTTTTTCTATAATCTATATGAAATAGAACAGTTAATTAAAAACTATTTTTGGTGATTATAAATATTTATAAACCGTTTATCTTGCAATAGTCGTAGTGACGTAGATTCTACGTAACATAAATAACATAATATTATGCAATATACACTGTAGATTCAAAATCATAAGAAAATATCTATAAAGTAAGTACTATTATGTAGAGTCAGACTTTCGAAGCCATTATGACGTATAAATAAAATAAATATTATATATTTCTGAAGAATAAATATTTCATGTATTTATTTGTATCTCTTAATCTTAAGGCGTTCGTCTGCTCGTTTAAACGCCAGTGAACCGTAAATTATACCTATCCAATAATGTTCAATAATCAATTCGCCATCGTAAAAATATTATTATAAAATTACAACTGTCTCAAAAAACCCTCTACGGTGGGCGGGTTAAATCCTCGATCGTTTATCTCTTTCTCTCTCTCTTCCTCTCTTTCTTATTCTCCGTCTCGCCACCGATGGGCGCGGAACATAATATAATATGTACTCTTTGATTTCGATTCCCTATAACGTGCATTATATATAATATACTACCTACATATGCCACGTGTCTGCCGACGGTGGATATCGTGTATATACGAGTATATAAATACATCTATAGATGTAGTGTGGGTTATTTTTTTTATTATCATTTTTTCTACTCCGCTCAAATACCCTTTAATGGACAGTCGTCGTCGTCATCGTCTGAAACACTATAATATTATATTATATTATACCGTACGGCGTCTAGACATGCTGTTATTCGTTTATATATTGTACACTTATTGTTATTATCGTCACTGCGTTTTGTGGGATGGTATCGCTTTAAATGTTACCCGGGTGTCACTCCGAAGCTATATCGTGCGCGTACCTACCTATATTATTACAGCTAATATACTGCACAGACGACGCCGGGGCGACGTCGTGTCCAGTAGTTATCGTTTACCCAAAAACATTTCTTAATTTTCTTGTAAATATATATATACATTATATTGTAAGACTAGGAATTTCGTTTTAAATCGTACACGATACGTTACTAATGGTTTTTTATACTCCAGGGGACGATTTCATATCTTCGATTTTCGACCTACCGATGTATGTATGACGTGTGTCCTGTGTGGTATGTACATATTGTTTCGTCATGTTGTGACGCCGCACGCGTATGTATATAATGCTGAAACGTCTCGGAAATCGTGAATCACTTTTATACTGCCGATAAATATATAGGGTTTTCCGTATTATTCATTATTCAACAATTAGAATTTGTGACACGGTCACATACTTATAACGCTACTGTTATTGCCTTTTGACATTTTTGTTGTACATTGATAAGCAGGCAGCTATATTATTTTTAACGGTACATAACTCCGATAATTGAAAATAAAATAATTAACGTTACGTTTACTATTATGCACATGTACGCTGATTTAAAGAATTAACCCATTAGCCCCGCTCCCAATTTTCAATTACTCTCCACTTCAATTAGTTTCCAGTTAAATAATTTATTTTTGGCCGATTATTTGTCAACTTTAAGCATTGTCAGTAGATTTCCCTGAATTAAAAAATGAAACAAGTTAAAAGCTTTACTTTAATTTTGTTTAAAAATTATAAGGAAACAAACTACTAAAGCACTTACTCTATAATACAAATTTCAAATCCTAAATCCTCTTATGCGTCATAAATTATGACTCATAATATACCTAAATCGTAATAAATTACTATACAATATTATTTACTAAAAAAATGTATAAATCATTAATCAATAAATGAGTTTGAGTAGGTTAATTTTATATTGATGCAAACAAAAATCTACATGAAATATTATATCAAACCATAGAAAAATATCGGTAGGATTAGATAATAATAAATAACAGCATATAAAATTAAATTCTAACATAATAATATATATTTTAATATTTATCAATTTATCATTAATATATTATTAACTTATTCACTTATAGGAATTATTAAAACGAACATCATGCAATTAAAAATACAACTATTTTCATTCATTTTTCAAATGAATATCAGAAATATTTATGTAATTTTATTTTTTAATTTCTAAATTTCTGAATTTTTTTAATACACGGTTGATATAGGTATTAATTAAGAATACAATTATGTAAATATAGTGTAATGTTAATTTTTATATGGTTTTAAATGATCGTATTTTTCTATTTATTATGTTAGTACTCATGAGTATTATAAATTATAATTATATAGGTTTAATAGTCACTTCATTCTGGACTCATTATTTATTATGGGTTTGTTTATACTTTATTTTATCTATAATGATTAGTACATATTCAGCTATCGGTCACCTACCTATCATTTTATTTTTAACAAGAAAAACATTTTTTAATTAAATTTTTGCAAAATGGCAAAACTTAATAGCAAACATTTTATAAGATTGAGATGAACCTAATCTTAATAGTTGGTAGCTTTATTAAATTTAACTTTTGATGAATGATAACCTTTGTAAATGCGCTATACTAATTTTATTTGTATGCATGTAGGTACCGTACCTATACAGATGTATTTCAGTATATGTGTAATAATTGTTAAAACATTAACAAATTATTGATATAAAAAGTAAAACAATTATTATGAAGTATTAACATTCAACTCAAATCTAAAATTATAATAATAAAAACAGAACATTCAGAATATATAAATATTTAAAATACTCGAAATCTCGATAAATCCGGATTCCGAGGGAATAAAAAAAAAGAATGAATTTCAGCTGTCCTGCAGCTGAAATGAACAGCATAGTTATTATGTTGTAGAGAAAATGAATTTTCAAGGTGATTATTGACATATGTTGACTTAGGTATCTAGTTTCTAACTAAAATATTCTGTATTCATGATTTATTAAATTTAATTTGTAATCTACTCCAAAGACGATATTTTATTTAAATATAATATTTCTGTTTGATCACTGTGTAATTATACAACGAAACAATGAAGTACAATGTACTATAACTGTAATAATAATATTTAAAATAAATTATTACTAAATATATTATTATCATCTATCTGTATAAAATGTAGAAATCCTCTAGGTATTTCACCTAGCACACGATTCATGGACATCTTCTATTAAAAATATATTAAACAAAACACCCTTTTCTCGTGGAAAAATAAATGGAATAGTCAAACAACCTAGCTAAACAATATGAAACAATCGGTCATAATATGGAACGGAAATCCAAATATCAGAATCTCAAATAAAAAATATTTTAATGCAGCTATAATTAGGCATACCAGACAAGCAGAAGGATTTCTATTTTTGACGAATAAAAGTGAACCTCCCTGAACATCAATCGTGTGGCACAACAATCATTATATGTTAAACAAATGCAGAGAGTTCGAAGAACACAGAATTAACTTAAATAAGTCATATGATTTCTGAAAGTTTAGGTCCAGATTCAAACAATGTAAAGAATGCTTATCAGTTCTTCCAAAACACAAATACTGGATATAAACTATAAACATCGATGTAATATTTATTAATATAATTTACAGATATCGATGTTATCCTCATCGCCATTATTGTCACGTCATACAAAAAGCCAACCTTAATGTAAGTATAATGTAACTACACTCGACATTTGTTATTCTATTCTATTTCAATATGTTTAATATCGTATTAGTGTATTACTCAAAAACTTTATATTAATATCCTTAATATTTTCACTTTTTAAATGTTATATATTATAATACGTAGCGCTATAATGGGGGAAATCAACGATGCCTTATTTATGATCGAAAAAAAAATGGACAATTTTATCAGTAATTTATATCAAATTAATATATTTTATTTTTTTATGGAATTAATACATAACATGCTTTCAATTTTGATTTTAACCCTCGATAAAGACGCCTGACTGTGCACGGGCAGTAGGTCAGAACTATACGGGAACGACTACCTACCTATAAACTTCAGTCACTATATAGGATTAATATACCATAATAATATGTAGGTAGGTCAACATTTCTTTAGACTTATTTTTTATTTTGAAACCGTGTAAGTTTTTAAATACCATTTTCTATATTTTTTAAAATATCGACGCACGTTTTATAATTATTAGGTCACCATATAATCACCAGTATTCACAACAACTGCAGTATCTACGATACGATTTGCATAGAATATAGAAATGTTTAAAAAAATTGTGCTTGGCAACGGTACATAAACTAAAAATAACACTAATCGCATAAACAAGAATTTTGCAGAATAAATTTCAAGGTTAAAATCTAAAATAAATAATAATAGTAAAAAAAAAAACCAATAGGTGTACCTAAATGTATAATAATATTATGAAAACGTGTTTGAAGAGTAATTGCCTTATCATGATATAATTATCGAATCAAACAAACATTACCAATAAAAAAAAGTTGACCTAGCCAACAATAACTGCCGTGTACATAATATATAATGTATTAATGTATTATGTATACCTACGTAAATAAAGGTGCACATATAAATTACTTTTATAGAATGTTCGATTCTAGTTTGAGATTTAAGTCAAATCCCAAAAGGCGACATATATATACGAACAATATTAAATACAGTTTACGCACATACTTACCTGTGTGTACATTGGTGTACCTGCCTACGGTTGATTATTTACGGTTTTTCATTTATACGAATCACTTCAACACGATAATATACACATATTAAAATAATGTTGTCGCCTTATGGCGAAAAAACAAAGAAATCACGTTCCGGCCGTAAAACAGTTTTTGTTGGTTGGTCCTTGTAAAGGCCGCTCAAATGGAAAATAATCTCACAATGTCACATATTAGATATATGCACCTAACACCTTAGCTAATATGATTAGCTTATTCAAGTGTCGTTGTTCATAGTATAAAACTATAAAACGGTGTGCTTATAGAATCGACCTGCACCTAAATATACAGGGTAGCCTGGTCACCAACTGTGTTTCCCCGTTTGCTTGCTTGACTAATACGGACGCGCAACGGGCTACCCTGCGTAATATCACATTATTATGCGGCCCACTGCAAATATACATTCGGTTAGGTATAACCGGTATAAGTCTAGTATACCCATAGATAATAAAGATATGGATAGGCCACGCCTATGTTAAATACATTTGAGGCCGCGTTCCCGGAGGAGAAGGCAATTGAGGCTCCTTTATATTGATAGTCGATACTCAATATAGGTATACTTTATTTGGCCTCAATTGTTCCCCTCGAAGACCGCTGATAAGACCAATATGTCCTATCCATATCTTTATTATCTATGAGTATACCTAGTCTAGTAATACTTACCCAAATAAATCGAATGAAAGTGATATGCAAATTGGAATAACGTAATTCAAATTCGACGTTTTATTTTACACTCGAACGAATCTGTTTAAAACCAGTGAACTTTCCACAAGGTCCAAGGTACTTACATGAGTCTTAATATTATTATTATCATAAGCCGGCGAAACGAGATTATTATACACCTATATATTTAGACATTTAGTTATGAGTTAAAATCGTCCGACTGCAGCCCAAGTGCAATAACATTGTTATTAAATAGATCGGTGAGTATATAGTATATACAATATACATTTATTATATATTGATAATTACTTTTATTATTTATAACCATAATGACTAATGGTATACTCTGATGCTCGTGTTTCGTAAGTCATCGCAGGGTATGCATAGGATTCGATACAATAATAATAATAGTAATAATGCGTTCGATTTAACTTTCAACATGATATGTCAATATATAATATCACATATTTGAATAACCGTAACGTTTATTCAACAGTTTTTTTTCGATATAATGTACAATTGTCGAGCTGAAGTATACGTAGGTAAACGCTTTTCGACAGAATTGTTTAAACATATCGCCATTACATTGTCTAGAAGTGTATACAGTATACACTATATACTGCAGTACACACATAAATACATAATATATAGATGCAGGTACAATAATTCAAAATAATTAATGTATGTGTGTTATCTAAAATAATAATGATAATAGCTAATTTAAATCGACCTAATTTCTATGTATATATCTATCATTTGTTGGTAAACATTTAGTTTTTTTTTCAATCGTAAATTTTGTTAAACGTGTTGTACGTCATTTATTTGGATAAACAATTTTTTACACACGTTACGTATCCTCGAGGTCGCATATGTATCGCGTGTGCATGAAATTACATATTATATATATACGGAAAAATATTGTTAACCGATAATCAACCAATAACTAATTTATATGTTTCCGCGAATGTCTATACAATATTATAATAATGTTATGTATAGTACCAAAATCGTTAATAACCATAATCTTTATTTTGCGGAAATGAATTTTTACATGAATAATATAATACAACATAGTACATACATTTATACGGCTTTCCGTTGAACAATAATGGCATCAGTCATATAGGCTATAGTGGAAGCAACACAGTGTAAAAACTAAAAATATTTTAGCTCGGTAAGGATATTTATGATTTTTACATATTTTTTCTTCTGATCCTGCGCATTGCAATTCAAATTATAAATTAATTTGGTATACGAATATGCGACTTAGAAGAAATATTTATTGACTTCGTCAAATTAAATTTTATACTTTGCATATTTTTTACATTTATTGGCATTTTTTTGTTTTATTTAAATCATAGGTAATTTTTTGTACATATAAACTGTAGGTCATTTTTCTTAAATTTTAGATTTCAAAGAATATGATTCTTTATTATTATTTATTAGTTTTACCACATACATACCTGATACACGCTGTATATGGGTCATACACTCATACATTCTCTTACCACAGAATAGTTTTATAAGAATTTATTCCATACTTTTACAGACATATTATACCCAAGTAGATATTAATGTATTATTGTTGATGTCAGAAATACAACTTTTGCAAACACGTGGATATAAGACTATAGTAGTTTATTAGTTTCTATATCATGGCTCAATCAGTAATAAAATAAAATAATAGATTCAATATCCATTAATGTATTCGTTTCATAATGAGTTGTTATATTTTTTTAAATATAATGTAGTGATGTGATAATATGAGATTTATTGAGGGTTTATTGCTCTGTGGTGTTGATGGACGAGGGAGGATGAAATAAGTATAGGTACATAAATATTGCAAGATAAAACAAATTGATCGTGGAGGAGAAATATTTTACAATTGCAAATAATAATCTATGTCACTATGCTGTAGACTCTGTATTGAATTTTTTAATAGCTTTGGCATAAATTTCGACTTATCTGCGACTGTCGGTAAATATTTTCTGATTCGATGTATAGCCCGAGTATATAGGCTGAATTGAATAATACCCTTCGCACAGGCACGCACTCTAAAACATTATGTACATGAGATAAAACTAGGACAATTATTTATTATACAATAGGTATTAGGTACCTATATTATACTTTTCTAAAATTTAAATTCTGATTTCTGATTCTAGATTTGGCTGATTTTCGTGTAATTATAACGGTTAGCGACATCTAATAACAATTAACATTGTAAACTTTTGATATATTATATTTCGGTCATAATTCATAAGTCGGAAGTTTAGGTTTTGTCAAATGTCGTTTGTCTGGGACATGTTATATTCACTTCAAATTCATGTCTAGTATTGGGTTCTGAGCTGAGCGGTAAATGTATTAATTTTACAATGATATGTGTGTTATTTTTCGGTCTGTCGTCACCTTTTGGAATAGTAATAACGACTTCAGCATCTTTTCTGGTAGGAAAGTGAATTAAGTTTGTACTTTAGAGGACAGGAGGGAAGGGGGAATTTTCAAAAATGTCTGAAAAAACAAATTAGGCTAGGAAAATTGGGAATTTTTACATAAAACCAATTTTTGACAAAATCGATTTATTTTTTTTGTGTAATTTAAAAACTAATAAAGTAATAATCATATATAAGAGTTACCTACTTGAAATTTTCCCCAAATGTTTATATTAGCAGAGTTACTTTTTAACTTTGACGTTTAGGTAATACAGGTCCAGTTCATAATATTCTAAAAATAGAAGTACAAACAAATGATTATTAGTTTTGGGCATTTAATATATTTTGGCAGAATCGCATAGAAACAACCCATATTATTGTAGATTGTCAATGGAATTATATTACGCTTTTGAGAACCAACTGACTCACGTTTTTGGCCTCTTTTACATATTATACAATACATATGTCCATATCCATATGTAATATCTTTTGCACGAGATACGGACTTGTATATTATTATTGTCTTTGACTGTGTAAATTGGAACTAGCACACTTAAACGTGCATTTAATATACATATATATATATAGGGAGATAATGGCTTGTTTAGGTGCTGGGTACGGTATATGCATGTGTATTGTGCGTGTATATATATATATAGGTATATAAACCTCAATAGTTGTTGGCTGTCCGAAAACATAATATAAGCGAACACTTTTTATGGGCGACGGAGCTGGTCGTGGCGAGCACATAAAATAATAATAATAGGAAGGTGCCTATATAGTATATACGTATAAACGCTTTGTATGTATATATGCTATGGGTGCCGGCCGACAAACTGGGCACGGTGCGTACGCGAAAAAAATGCAAAAGCAAGCGGCCGAGCAGCGGCTTGCCACATTTTTATAGTTCCAGAACACGAAACTGGTTTTTTGTCATTTATTATATTATATATATAAATATGTGTGTGTATGTGTGCTTGTGTGTGTGTTTGTATACGGACGCTTAACTGTAAAACGTAACGGGATGTTTGGTCGGTTAAAAAACGATCGTTTCCATCCGCCTATGTGCCATCACATGTACAGATATTCTTATAGGCTATACATATATTATCTATTGTAAATTTTGGTAGGTATTATGATATATGGTGGCATGAATTACGAATTAGTACATTTTTTTCAGAACAGACACTTTTTTCTGGAACTGTATGATATTAAATTCGACTAGGCGTAGGCATATAATGCTGGAAACTTGTTCGGATATTGCAGCAATTACACATACGACCTATTTCAATTTTCCACGGTTATAAAATACATAAATACTAACCATCACATTTTAGGCATAATATTATATTGTGACGTGTAGGTATACCTATTACAATACAGAGGTACTTCTATAATCACGAATTCACAAATGCCCCCACTTACCGTTTTATAATTGCATATTTAGATACATCGTTTTATGAGAATTTATTGATACTTAAATATGACATATAATTCTCTCATACGAATTTGTATGTTTTATCGGAATGATATAATTATATTCAATACTGAGGCAGTGAGGCGTACTTATGGTGTTGGAAAAAAAACAATTTATGATAATTGATTAACCGACGATTAAAGTATATTTAAAGATTGCATCCATAATTTAAAATGTCATACATTTCTGCAAATAAATATTTATTGAATCTGTCAATATAATATTAATATAATTTAAAGATAATTCATGATTAATACAAATTAAGGTAAACAAAATTAACTTGAATAATTATTGAATTATTGAATTTTATTAACTATGTAGAATGTGATTAATTTAAATAACTTGTTTTTTTTATTAGTTCAAATTGTATTTATTTTTACATCAGTAATACGTCATCTCAATTCCATACTATATAATAGACAAACTGAATGAATGATTTTTTTATCAATTTTAAATTATGGATGTATACCTCCTGTCCTCCTCTAATAAGAGTCTAATATTTATAAACTTTAATCGTCCGATAATCATAGTGTTTCTTTTCCCCACATTGAGCTTAAATATTATGTAGTATTGGGATTTTGCCCGGATATCGAATATCAGCTACAATATCTATTTTTACAGATATTAAACAC